CATAACAACAACAGCAAGAAATAATGATTTGTTTCATTAGAGGCATCTAAAGAGCATTTTGAGCTTTTCAAAGCACTTGGATACACATGATTGCCTTTGCCCCAAGGCCTGCATTTCCAGAAAAGATGATGAATGATTAGAATGAGAACAAGGAACCAAATGATGAACACCACCATAAAAATGAATGAGGTATTTCAAGGGAATGGCATAAAGACTGGGAATTAAATCACTTTCATTAGTATGAAGATGTAGCTCTGATCCTAAAGTCCAGGTGAAATCAGRAGGTTCTCATGGAAGAGGAGGCAGTCACCTAGTCCCTCTGTGGGTCCCCCTTACCTGATACTCACCTTCACCTCCAGCACAACGTATTACAGCTCAGACTACTCCTCTGCCCATCTTTTGTGTTTTCCATCTCAGGAAATGGTTCTGCCACTCACCTCTCAGTCATCTGAACCAGAAGCCTGGCATGTCACTTCAGACTCCCTTTCCCCATCGTCACATTCCTGGATTCCCACATGAGGGTCTGTCTAGGTTCCAGTGTAACCGGCTAGGAGTCTTGCTCCAAACTCCAACCTTTTGGTCTGGGATGCTCTGAAGCCAAACCCTTGACAATCCCCTTGCTCAAGGAGTTGACTCTGCTCCTAGTGCCCTGAGGGGGTACCTTGTCAGTGACTCCGTMGTCCTGGTAGAACCAGAACACATGCCTACCTGCCTGGATGAACTGAGATGCACTTGACTTCCTGCTGCCGAGCCTCTGCCGGCTCCTAGCAGGTCCTTACTAAGCCAGCCTCTGCCACCCAGGACTAGAACAGAGTTCAGCACACGGAATGGACTCAGTAAGTGTTTGATGAAAAGAACTGAGGCAGCCATTCATTCTAGCTGGTCTCCACGGTGACTACCCAATTCCACCTTCAAGAAGACACTTGGGAGGAGAGGAGGTCCCCACGGCCAAAAACTCCATCAAACCACAGGATTAGCCAATTGGAGTTAGAGAAAATCATGCTAAGTGAAGTTGGCCAATCCACCAAAAAACAAATTCCAAATGTTTTCTCTGATATAAGGAAGCTGATTCATAGTGGGRGAGGGAGAGGGAGCATGGGTGGAACAGAGGAACTCTAGATAGGGCAGAGGGGTTGGAGGGGAAGGGAGGGGGCATGGAGTGATAAATGATGGTGGAACGTGATGGTCATTATCATCCAAAGTACAGGTGTGAAGACACGAATTGGYGTGAATATACTTTGTATACAGCCAGAGATGTGAAAAATTGTGCTGTCTATGTGTAATAAGAATTGTAATGCATTCCGCTGTCATATATAAATAAAAAATAAATAAATAAACCACAGGGTGAGAGTTCCAAAAGACTTACCTCTAAGAAGTTACATGAACTGTGACCTTGATCTCATAACTCTGAATATAAATCCCCCGACATCTACCTCTCAGAGCCGCCTTAAGGATCACATTACATAAAGGGCATTTATAGAGGGGTCAGGTCAGGGGTCACTGCATATCAGCGATTCTTCCATTTGGCTRTGCATCCGCATCAGTCAGGGGGCTCCTCAAAGCACAGACTCCCAGGCCACACCCCAGCATTTCTGATTCATTGGGTCAAGAAACTAGTTTAGAGTATTTTCATTTATAATAATTCTCTGGGTGATATTTGTCTTAATTCATTTGAGTGGCTATAGCAAAATATCATAAAGTAGGTAGCTKATAAACAACAGAATTTATTTTCTTATAGCCCTAGAGACTGGAAAGTACAAATATCAAGGTGTCACCAAATCAGGTATCTGGTCAAGGCCCAGTTCCTGGTTCGCAGACCCATCTCCTTGCTGTGTCCTTACACAGCAAAGGAGCAAAGGAGCTCTCTGGAGTCTCTGTTASGAGACTTGTGACATCATCACCTTCCAAATCCTCCACGTCCTGACCAGCACACTCAGGATTCGGTTTCCACATATATCAATTTTTGGGGAAGACAAACATTTAATTTCTGGTAACACTGATGATGCTAGTCCAGGGACCACACTTTGAGAACCACACTGCTCTGCATTATTCTGAGAGCACTGCTATTTGATGCTGACCCTGTCTTCTTCCATGAAGTGTGCTATTTCAACACACAACTTCAGGTTTATGTTTTACCTCTTTTGCTGTTTGGTTGGAATCTTAACCCAGCCTGTAAATTCCTCTGGGCAGAAATGATACCTCCTACATTCCACACACTCGCTCATTTTCTGGTTTTGCAAAATAATGAGTACATTTTCAGTGTGATTAATAATAGAATAGGGGAAGGAGAGAAAACTCAGACTACCAATGCCAACAAAGAGCATCCACAAATGGATAGATAGCAATCCCGGCATTCTCTTAAAAATTAATTACGAAGCGAAGAACATTCTACCATCAGAGGCAATGAGAGAAATGATATTATTTTCTTGATGACACACTTTGTAGAATGTGGGTTATTCAAGATTTTAGCTGTAACTTACTTAAACACCAGCATTTCTTGAAATATAATATCAAAAATAGCATTCCAAGTCATAATTTTTATAGTGATAGTCAGATCATTGTGTTTTCAACATGTAAAATCCATTATACAGTTGTGGCAACTGCTTGCAATAGATTGTACATTTTTATTGAGATGATCATCTTGCAATTGAATTTCCAAATGTATTATATGATCATCAGCAAATAAGTCCATGGGGGCTGATAAAGTACTTTGAATATCATTTATAAAGATCAAAACCCCTGACAACTCTTACATTTACCCCATGGAAAGAGAGTAGTCTCATCAGTAGAATCAAATCAATTATTTTTATGGATGACGATTGCATTGCAAAACTGAGATAAGGTATTATCTGGTTTAATAACAYACCCTTATGTCCTTTTAAAGTAGTGAGTTTCATAATCAGGTTTCAATGAGGAATTTTACCAAAGGCCAGTTTTGAAAATAATTTAAAAAATGGCATCTCTGTACATCATAGTGCTTCAATATCTTTCAAAGCAATATTTCCAAGAGATGGAAATACTCACTTCCCTTGGCTTAAATGCTACAAGATATATTTCTGAGATATTTAGGGATGGTTCCAGTTAATTCTGCTAGAACATTCAAATTTATTTCCAAAACAGTTGAAAACTCAAATTTGTTCTAAAACACCTGCTCTATCAGGGAGCTGTTTAAACTTAATGCAAATTATAAGTTTTCTTGTGGATAATTTTATATGCAAAAAACATCAGTGAAGTACAAAACTGCATCCAGACAAAATGAGATGCACAAAACAAACGTACACACACACACTCCTAAACCTGCTCCATGAGTTCACCAGGTGTGCTGTGAGCCACAACGGTCAGTATCTGGTGTATACCCTTCCACCAGCCTCAGAGGGCCATCCTGCTAGCACTTCACAGTATCTCACAGGCTGCAGCCCTCTGACTTGCACCCCCACAAGCGAACATCTGAAGTTCTCAAGGTCATCTACCATATTTATTATGGTACTCATGCACTTCTTAGCCATTCGACACGTGTAAACTTGTGCCGCCATTTTTAATAGCTTCCTCTCTTTTTGTGGCACTGATGAAGTATGAGGTGCTCCTAATCCCATTATTTTTTTTCTCATAGTTATATGGTATTCATCGTAGTATGGGGCACAGAACAGTGATTTTTAGCACTGCTATAACGTGTCACCTTATAGCAGAACTGAAATACTTTGCTTTTTGTTCCATGTCTCTCTTCTGATGGACCCTTCATTACCCACACCCCAGAATTCCATCAGTGACCCCCTTTCCCTTGGAAGTCAATGCTGCCTTCTTCTCTGAACAGCCCCTCCCCACAGTGCAGCACCCTGCTCTGTGCACCATGCCCACGTCATCTACCTCTCTATTCATCTTGATGCAACCAGAGATCAAGAGGGTTAGAGTCAGAAAACCTGAGTGCAAATCCTGACTATGACATTGGCCAACTCTATGACACTGGACAAAAAGTTTTAAGATACTGAGCCTTGATTCCTTCATGTATGAATGGTTACTTGGATTGAAAAAAAATAGATAATAATATGATYTGAAAGAAAAACAAAACAACTACACCGACTTCTTCTAATTTCTTGAGTTGCATTCAAAGCCAAGAACATCTTAGGAATGCAGTCCCAGTCAAAAGTGCCTTATTAAAAATACCATCAAAGCCAGGAGGCCTCACAAATACAACTGAATCCCCTGAATCCAAAGGACCCTCCCACATATAGCCCCGGGTACAAGATTCTTTAGCAACATCCAGAAACTTGAGTGAAACAGCTCCAGAAGCCCAAGGAGATAGAGTAGCATCCAGACGGGCCTTAGRAAAACAGCCCCAACCTAGACTTCGCTAGGAGCCAGGAGCCTCAGAGGATCCAGAATCAGAAAACTCTTAGGGACTCCGGCAGCTCCAGAATCAACTTTGAGACACCATCAGAACCAGGAGCTCCTCAGAGACAAAACTCAAACTACRAGCCAACAGTGAAATGACCAAATCCCAGGGTCACAGGCCCAGCCAGGGGTCTTTAAGGACAAAGTTGAAATCAGACACATGCTAGACAATGCAACCAGAATCAGAAGGCCACAGGGATAGAGTCTAAATGAGGCCTTCAAGGGACACAGTAAGAACCAGAAGCCCTCAGAGAGTCAGAGCCAAGAACCTTCAGAGAAGCAGGGCTGGGAGCCCTSAGAGGCATGATTAGCACCAGAAAGCCTCAAACTGCAAATGATATCAGGGGTTCGCAGAGCCGCACCAGCAGAGTCAGTGCCCCGTCAGAATCACGGCCAGAACCAGGAGTTCTCCATGACACAGCGAGTCATGAGGTTCTTGGTTCGAATCGMAGTCCAGAGCCAGAGGCCCTCTGAGGCCAGACCCAGACCTTGACTCTCTTTCTCCGCAGCGTAAGCACACTCACACCCAAGTCACCYGGGCCAGAGGAGGACCAGGAACCCGACGGCCCAGCGGCCCACAGTGGATCCAAGAAGGAGGAGGTGGTGCTTACCGGCACATTTGGTCCTGGTGGTGAGGGGAGGCCCCGGCGGTCCTGTGCCACCCTCGCCGGGCCGTGTGAGCAGCACCCGGATCTCGTACTCCACGTCGGGGTCCAGGTGCCACAGCTTGTAGTTGGGAGAGTCGACTATGTGGGTCTCGGCCCAGGTGCCCGTGGTCGTGCGGTACTCCACCTCCTTCAGGATGATAGGGCCGTCCCCGATGATGGAGTTGGCATTGGGCTTGATCCACAGGTAGGTGGCCCCCACAGCCAGCAGCTCTGGAGGGGCGATGGGGGTGGGAGGCTCTGCAAGACAAGCACCAACACAGGACTTTCAGCCCCTGGGGTTTACAGATGAGCAAGTCACGGGGAGGGACAGAGGCCAGGCACAGCCGTGGAAAACAGTCCTCTGACCCTTTGGGACCCATTCACCTCCTGCTTTAGTTTTTAGGTTTCTGTCAGTATAAGCTGAGTCGACATTCATTCAGAATCTATAGTCAACACCTACCATGTCTCCTTCATTGAAAGAAAAAAGAAAAAAGAAAAGGACAGTGTGGGACATGGTTTCTCCTGCATACAGCAAGGGCACCAGGAGGAATCCTCTGCTTCCTATCCTCAAGTGAAATTGCCTTTACTATAAAGTGAGGTTTGGCACAAAATTTGAGGGTATCTGTAGTTTATAAGCATTTTTACATCCAAACACATAGATTGTCCTCCCTGGAGGGTGATATGAGCCTAGGTAGAATAAGGATGGTGGCCTAACAGGAATTCAGCTGCTTCTACACTCTGGCAGGTTCCATCCAGCAGAGAAAGAGCCCTTGGCCATAGTGGACCCAGTAGGAATCCAAGGTCACAGGAAAAGTCCTGCTGAGTTACCTGCTCTGCATTGCTACCTCCCTTCCATTAAGTTCCATATTGTCAGCTAAACATGCCAGAATTTCAACGGTATTTATGGTGCCCTATTGGCAGAGCTGCAGAAAGGAAGTACTTCTTATGTGCTTATTCGTGTGTGCACATAAGTGTGTGTGTGTGGAGTGGATAGTGGGCATTGAAACCAAGGGCATTTTCCACGGAGTTACATCCCCAGCCCATTTTTTAAATATTTCATTTTGAGACAGGGTCTTGTTGTGTTGCCCAGGCTGGCCTCAAACTTGGGATCCTCCTGCCTCAGCCTCCCCAGTACCTGAGATTATAGGCATGGGCACTGTACCTAGTTCTTTTGAAATTTTTAGAGACCAGGAAATTTCACACCTATTATTTCATTTACTTTTTAGGCAATGTTAATTGTCTCTATTTTGATGGGTGAAAATCTGGGAAACCCAAGCAAACAGGTCATCTAACCAAGGTCAAGAAACAGATAAGACAGGAAGAAACCAACCTCTGCATGCCTTCCCAGATGGGCTCTCCCCTTGGAAGGCTGTTTGGCTCTTGATATCCCCATTTAACAGCAAACTGGGTGATTGTTATTCTTAACAAAAAGCAGTGAACAATAATAAAGAAAATGAAAGAAGAAATAGCCCTCTTCCCCACCAGCCAATATAGCAGGCATTTTAATTTCTCTATGTTCATTCCAATTTTTATTCATATACTTATAATTTTAATGTGGCTATAATAACTCAGAGATCCAATGCAGAGTTGTTTCTCTTCCTTCATTTATAACATCCTGAGGACTTGGTTTATATGTTACATGGACTTTGCTCTCACTGTCTTTAGTAGCTACAGAATGATCCATCAGGTTATCACACTAATGATGTTCCCATTGTTGGACATGTGAGCCATTCTGAAGTTTTGCTGTTATAAATGATGTTGTAATGAACATCTTTGTGCAAATGATGGCAGTCCTTGTTGTCTGATATTTTCGTAGGACCAAAGGCCAGGAATGGGGTTATCTATCAAGGRACATGAATGAGCCAGTGATTCCTACAGTAAAATAAAAAGGTGGGGTTGAGGAGGTACTTAGGGATGGAGGGCAATGCAGATGTATTCAAGAACATGTCAGTCCCAGAAAGGCTCTGGGCTACTCATATGGGTGAAGGTAAGTATGAGTTCTAGTTTGGAACTGGGGTGTGTGCTTTGGGATAGAGCCTCACTCAGCATTTCTCTTCTAATTAATTACCTAGCAGAGAAGACTCTTCGGAAACAGAATAATTTTCTGTGAAACAGGGGATGGACAATATTTTCTCAGTGTGACTTGAAGCAAATCTTAAGGGACCACTTCAGATTGCCTCTATTGTAGCCTGCCTTTTGGTCAGAGAAGGAAATTACGCAGATTAGTCAAGCTAGATGCTTTTCTTTACAAAGCCATGGGAGGTTATTCCTCAAGACCTTGTTATCTCAAAGGTGTTTGCAAATCGATTTTTGGATAATTTGTTCCAGGTAGAGAGGTTAAGTTGGCAGGCAGATAATTTCTAGGCTCATCCTTTGTGCATTTTAAATATATAGACCCTTTGATCACCAATATCAAGTCTCTAGAGTTTCCATCAGTCTCCAACGAGGCCCCCAGGGTGATATTCTGTAGCTCTGTGATGACTCTGCCTAATTCCTTAATATAATAATTCACACACTGGCCCTCAACAGAATTAAGAGCAGCAGACTTTAATGCTTTGGGGGGCCCAGCAAGTGGTTACATTAAGCCCTCTTCCATTGACTGTTCACCATGGATTTCTGTTCTTCAACTTCAGATATCGTGTTTTCCATTTCTGATCATCAGAAAAATAATAAGGTATTTATCCTTCCARATGTTGTCTCTTCTCACGTGTTTCTAATGGTAAGTCAAGTATAACAACAAACATCTCCATGAGTGTATAAATGTCCCATCTCAAATGACTTGCAGGTTCACAAGTTCAACATGTAGATTGGTCATGGAGACTAATCACCGTGGTTCTCTCCCCCTCTGTCCCCTCCAGGATAGATTTTGTATGTTCATTATCACATCTCTGTTTCTGGCACCAAGAAGTCATCAGATTATTGCTTTGTTTTGTTCTTTTCCTTTCAGTGGTGGGTTGGTGTACAGTTGGCATTCTTAGCCACACACATGGACTGGTGGTCCATAGAGACAGAAGCAGGAGTAAGACACAGAACATATATATTATTAAGCAGCATGATCTTGAAAATTCATAGAAAATCATAGAAAATCATGTTTATTTGTATGGATCCTCCTCATACAAGATAATGCAGTGAATGTTACATGGCCATAAAATCCAATCTAGAGGACGAGAGTGATCCCGAGACCACTAGAGTCATTGGGAAGGAGACAGAGACCCAGGCAGAGCTGGGTTAAGCTAGAAGAGTGAGAGGAGGGCAGCAGAGCTCAAGACCAGAGGGCTGCCCCTCCCCGCCCCCTCTTGTACTTGAGATGTTTGTGTAATTAACCAGAAGAGTCTTTAAGGAAAGTCTAAACCAGTAGTTTTTACTTTTTGGTAATAGGTCCTGAAAATCYCATGGGAAATTCCAAACTCTCTTCCCAGGAAAATTCACAGCAGCACATTACCTGGAGTTCTGTACATCATTTCAGGAATCCATGAACCCTCTGAAACCCATGCATAACCCCTGCTGGGTCTATGCCAAGAACAGAAGGAAATATCTGTGACCCAGAGGCTGAGAAGAGTACCACTAAATATTAGTCAGAACTGAGCCTCAGAAAATTTGGTAGAAATGAACCTCCAACCTTGTACCATTAACTTCTAATCAAGTAATTCTATTGGCACCCTCATTCAGATCTTGAAGCCCTGATAGTTTCCTCAAACCAGGTTGGGCAGGCACATGACAGTTCTCATCCGTGAGTCTTTTCACACAAGACACAACCAAGCCCTCTCTTTCCCTGACCCCTGCCCAGTCAACTTGTGCAAAGACTGGAGTCACTCTTTGACACCTGATAGCATCTCTGCTCACAAAATTTGGAAAAAAAAAATCAAGAGAGAGGCAGATTTGCTTCTAGGAAGCTGCAACCTGAGYTGAGAGATGGCCTCTGTTCCTTCTAGTCAGACATCAAAGCACGGTGAGGACAAGGACCTCATGAGCGGACCACAGGACCTGGGTGGCAGCTGTCCATGAGCTGCCAGAGCTCTCCTTCCATGTGTAGATGGTGAGGTGACCTCCTAATGTGATTCAGCCTCATCCTCAGGCAGCAATCTCCAGACCAATTCTGTCTTTCTTTTCCCTGCTGTGAGCACTTGTAACAGTTTGACTCCCAGAAATTCCCACAGAGAGCAAAAGTGCTTCAAATAGCCCATGATCGAGCTGTGTGTGGGGTGTGTGTGTGTGTGTGTGTGTGTGTGTGTGTGTGTGTGTTGTCTGCTCCAGTCAGAAATCAAACATTTGAGAAAAACTGTATGTTTGTAAGATGTGAAGTGGGTCTTGACACGGTTCAGGTGAGGATGACTGGGTCTCCAACACTTCCCAATGCCCCTTCCCATCACCTGGCTGCCTCCTTAATTGCATTTCAACTTCCTGAGTCACAGAAGTCTTGAGGAACACCCCGCCCCAATCCACCTGCCAACATGGGCACATAACACACACACATGTCCACCATGTTCCCTTCCATTCTCTTGCAAATGCTACTTATCACACATGGACCAGCTTTCCTTGCACCTTTAACTGAACCATACTGGTTGTTTTCCAAATCTGCTGCATAACTTCTTAGTTGCATAGACCATAGGTCTAGGCACAAAGGTGTTCCAAAGCACCACTCCGATTAGATAGTCTAYGGGTTTGTAAGTAGTGCTGCTTCATTTAAAAATGGCTGGAGGATCCAAAGATGAATGGAAACTCAGCAGGCCCAGAGTCCTGGCCTTACCAGATATGTAACCCTGGTGGTCCATAGAGATAGAAGCCACCCAATCTTTGTACTTCTCAATGTTTTTACCTTGAGAATARAAGATAAGATTGGTTTATGATTCATGTTGTAAGCACCTCTAAACTCTGTAATTGGCCCACATTGGCTCTATCATGACTGGGAGGTTCCCTAGACTAAAAACAGACAGCATCCAATCCACCATAGGTGCCCACAGGAACAAGTTTTTATGTCCTTGCCTGATACACAGCCAATGGTCAAAAAATTTGATATCTTATTTAACTGGGTAGAAAATTATTTAATTATCTTTCCTAAAAACAAGAGGTATAGGAGAAGCAACAAAKAAACTGAATAATAATAAGAAGGAGAACATTACAAAGAATGGAAGAATGGACMCCAAGGCTAAGCATTGCCAGTATTTAGGGGGAAAGACATCAGACAAGAAGCACTGAACAGTAATCAAAGACATAATTATAGAAAACTTTTCTGAAATGAAGACCCAAGTTAGCAGACT